ACCCCAAAACCCCAAAACCCCATAAGATATATACTAATAAACAATGGAGATTTAAGATTTTAACTTTTGTAATAATAACTTATTGGTAATAATTATAAATTAAGTGATATCCTTTTTTCAGGTACACTTGGAATATTAAATTTCTAGAAAATGAGCGTTATTTAATGGTAGAAACTTTTGGACATATTCCTTTTGAGAAATATGAACTAAAACTTTACTGAGCAAGAGTTTTAGAAAGAAAGAGAAAAATAGCAGCCTAAATTAATGATGCTCTACTATTACATCATCCAAATAGTAGTTGGTACAATGCATGCAGTAAACATATGCCTTGGCTAGGACATAGTTTTATATGGATTGAGCTTCCTATTTTGCTTTGGGATGATGTATGGTTGGAAGTATATTCTAATTCATAAAACTCACATTGCAAATATTGTCGAAGTTTACATTGTACATACTATTGGAGTCTTCATTGTGGTATTTCATATTTATATGGTCAACTCTAAAATTCTATATCACAGTCCTGCTATCTACCTTTAGAGAACTTACAATGTCCTCTGTCTGATCAACTCAAGTCTAGGCTGGTTCCCAAAAACACTATCATTTATGATTAATACAAGTCTCTACAAGATCTTACTGGTGTATATTTATGGAGTAGATGGAATGAACGCTTAGAAGCAGTAATTGCCTCTCTATGTGATTTTCTATACAATGCTTGTTGGATTAGGTATATCTATTAATAAATTAATTGTTTAGCATTAAGAAGGCAGGAGTAGCTGTACCGTGAGGAAATGAACTCAAAGAAAATGGAATCTTATCAAAAGGACAAGTTGGTAAAAGTTCTCTAATTGATTCAAGATGGTGTACTTATCATTAACAACTAAAATGGTTGTGATGAAATAATCTATTAGAATGAATCTTTTCTCAGGATTGTTAAAAAATATCGTCTCAAATTATTAGAATTCCTTTAAAAAAAGAGAAGCCAATAATAATCACTTCTTTGATCTTCAAACTAGTACAATGATTTAGAGTAATCAGCCTCAAAGTACAACTAATTTAATCAAACGATTTCCTAGTCTTAAGATAGAGGAAATTGCTTATCAAAATTGTTTGAAGGCATGCAATTTCGGTTTGAATTTTGCTTCAACGTAAATTAAGTAATATCTTTCACAGAATTACTAAAATTAGTGAGAGAAAACAATGACTATAGCAAAGATTTCTTTTTCAAAATAGAACCAATAAATGAATCACTTTAGATAAATGTCAATCATCTCGAATAAGAGGGGCAATTACTAATTGTTTTCAAAGAGATATCTGCCTACAAAAAGTTGCAAAAGACTAAGCACAGAGAAAAATTTACTAATATCTTCATTAACTCAACAGCTCATAATATCTTTACACCCATCAATGGACTGATTGGTATAATGTAACTTATCTAATAAGAAACTAGTCACATGGACTCAGTGGTATCCTACATTACTCTTATGAAGAGTTGCATTTTCAATTTATTCTACACTACACAAAACATTCTTGAGCATTCAAAGATCAGACTCAAAAAATTTGTTCCAGAGCTTAAGTCTGAAAACGTAGCAGAAATTATTAATAAATAATTGGATATATTCTAATAAGATGCCTCTTAGAAACGAATTATAATTGAACGTGATATTCAAATAAACAATGTAATCTTTTGAACATTTTTTATATAAACTTTTAGGATAAAATGCATTTGGATTAGTAAAGAGTAAACTTGATTTTATTTAACTTACTCTCAAACGCAATTAAATTTTCAGAAAATGGAAAAATTAAAGTTGAATCGTAGGTTTACTCCAAGGAACAGCTTATAAAAAAGTTTAAGGATATTGCTCAAATCTAGTAAAAATAAATTAAGGAATTATATGAAAGTCAGTGTGACTACTTACTGTATATTAGTGTCGAAGATACTGGACAAGGCATTATATATGAGAACCAAGATGATCTATTTAATCTATTCAGAAAACTAAGAATTTCAGCAGATAACATTAACCAAAATGGATTAGGTCTTGGATTATCAGTATCCAGTAGCATCTGTGATCATCTTCAAGGGAAACTTCAAATCGAGTGGACCAAGAAGAAGAAGGGAACAAGAATTTCTTTTTATCTTCCTGCATTGTATTGCCTTGAGGATGATAACCTAATATCTGCGAACAGAACATTCCTTCAATTTATAGATGATTTTAACTAGGTATAATCCTAGGATGAACATGAAATTCTTATCACAGAGACAATTACAGAAAATTATCATTATGAGGAGATGTAAAATAAGAGAAGTTTATTAGAAAACAGCCAAAGCTTGTTTCAAGCAACTAAAAATCTACAATTTTAAACAACATTCACTCCGAGAATAGTTAAATAACCATTACAGCAGCACAATCTTTTAAATCCTACCTTTAGATCTCAAGAAAATTATTCTTTACTGCATTATTAGATCACTACTGAACTTGATTTGGACTATCCTGAAATACTGATCGTAGATGATACTGTATTTAATGTTGAAATCATCAGCATGATACTTGAAAAGAATTTTTAGCTTTCATGCGACAAAGCGTACAGTTCAAAGTAAGCACTTTGAATGATAGAAAAAAGAGTTGATTTAATTGAGAATAACTGCGTAGATATGTACAAGCTGATCTTGATGGACATAAATATGCCTGGATAGGATGGAGTAAAAACAACAAAAACAATAAGGAAATATTTTTCAAAGTATTTCAGAGAAGAATAAAAGATATATGCTTACACAGCTATCCCCGAGAATTAATTAGATAATTTATTAAGCAAGGGTTTTGATGGATATTTACCTAAGCCACTCTCTCATGAACGATTGAAAAACTTGCTCTTGGAAATTAACGTAATTAGATGACTTAGTAATTAAAATAAGTAAAATATAAATTTAGCAAATGATATCAATGGCTTTTGCTGAATATTAATGATTTTAGATTGTGAAAAATATAGAAATAAGTGAAAGTTATTTTATGCTTATTTTTATTATTAAAATTTATCATCTCAATTATTGTATACATCTTGTTTGTGGGGTTTTGGGGTTTTGGGG